TTTACAAGAAATTTAATGGTGCTATTTATTTTGTATTTGGTATAGTATTTAATGACGAAACTGACAATTAATGATTATTGCGCCATTTGTTTTTTGTAATAAATATTTTTGACCATGGCAACAAAGTCATTACATCTACAATCAGCACACTGGTCCAAAGTGTTAATGAATTAACAGGAAAAGTATTTACTAACTTTAGTTATCACTACAAAGACTTTATTTGGTTGTGTGAAAGAGCAATATTGGCACCTAAAAGTGTGACAATTAATTCTATCAACCAACAACTACTCCAGATTATTCCAGGGAATCCTTATATTTACAAATCAATTGATACAGTTATCAATCAAAATGAAGTTGTCAACTATCGAACGGAGTTTCTAAATTCTTTGGAATTTCCAGGATTGCCTCCTCACCAACTACAACTTAAAGTTGGAGCTCTTGTAATGCTTTTACCAAATTTAGATTAGCCTAAGCTCTGCAATGGTACCAGATTAATAATAAAGGCATTACAGCCTCATGTCATTGAAGCACAAATTCAAATTTCTAATAACATCAGAGATGCCGTTTCAGTTTAAGCGCTTACAATTTCCAGTAAGATTAAGTTTTGCTATGTCGGTCAACAAATCACAGAGACAAACAGTGAAAGTTGTTGGGCTACAGTTACAAGAAGACTACTTCTCTCATGGTCAACTGTATGTAGGAACAACTCTAGAGTAGGAATAGCTAATAATCTTTATGTATACTCTCCTTTTGGAAAAACATGCAATGTTGTATATAAAGAAGTATTGTACATTCTAATTTCAAATAAAGCCTTGTTTGATTAAATGCTTTTTTATTTCTCGCATCACAGCTTTTGTCTACTTACTGAATAATTTGCTGAAAATATACCGATCTATACATTTTCACCGCGCAACGCCAGATAACTCAGCTAGTATACATATAAAATTAACTCAGAAATTCAGTACCTTTGCTTTAGAAACAGGGTGTCGGTATATTAGTACGAAAATTGATCAAATATTTAGCACTAGTATAAAAGCTCGTCAAAAATGACAGGAAACAATTGTTGAATAATTAACGAAAATTATAAAATTTAACTAAAACGAATTTGTCTGTACCTCCAAAATGAACCTACTCTTCACTTATTTCATCAGACTCTGAGTAATTCTTTAATCACCACATTTTTAGTACAAACTACGCAGAAAAATGAAATGTTATCGTGAACAAAAGTATGTGTGCACTTTGAAAGAGACTTAAATAGTACTCTTGAGCCTTTTCACTGAATTCCAGGTCAGGAAGTAGAAAACATAGTGAGGGGATTCCGACATAAATTTTCAACTCTTTTCGACTGTATATGGTTTAACATATGGATAATCATTGTGTGTAGTTCTTTTCGTATTTTTTGTTTGTTGTTTTCTATAGTTACTTGTCCATTATGGCAGTAACTTTATGAATAATAATAAAAAATAGATATTTGGTTGTAATAAGCGTTTATTTCCTTTATGTTTTAAGGCCAAGTAGGTAATGTATGTGTTAAAAAAGCAAAAGAATATTTATTAATTAACATGTATTTACCACTTAAAACTTTTTAAACACGTAATAGTAGGCCTATTTGTAGTCTAATTTAAGCATTAGACCTAATACATAAACGTAACGTAAGGACTAGCTGAAACCCTACTTGGTAAATTTTATTTTGCTTTTGGCTACAACTCAGTGTCATAAAACTTCTGAATTAAACCATTTTGCTGTTATATAAAAAAATACAGAATAAAAAGCAAACCTTTCTATCAAATCAACATGAATATTGAGCATTCAACATAAACACCATAGTTTGCCTAAGAACAATTAGGTGATAGTTTTGTTGCTAAGCGACGATGTGTATTGTTGAGCATTACCAAAAAAGGAGCGTGAAAGCGTTCTCGACAGAGTGACAAAGGAAATAAGTTTTTTATAGCTAGTGATTGTTAAATAGCAGGTGAAATTTTTCTTAAATATAACCTTTCTCGTCCCCCACTTTAGAAATATGTATGTATATATATATGTGTGTGTATGTGTGCGTGTGTGAACACGATATTATCAAACGCATTGCAACAGCACATTTTCAGATGATGGATGGCCCATCCTTTGCGATTTTGCAAGCAAATTCCATAGTGAACTGATTCTTAAGGAGACTTATAATGGTTAGCAGCAGCTACAGACGATCAGTTGAAAACAAGACGTTATGAAGAAATAGTTTCTTTAAGACACAAAACTACATAACGGACTATCTGCGCTGTGCCCACCGTGGGTATCGAACCACATTTTTTGTGTGTTTTTTTTCTAGTTTCAGCGTTATAAAGCCATCACGCTTACTGCTAGGCCACCGGCACGAGGAAATAGATTCATGGATTAAAAAAAGGAATGATTATTGTATGCCTCCGAAACATTCCATCCCACCTAATCGTATCAAAAGATTCTATGGATAAATCGCTTTTAGTGTAGCGCTTAATACTTTTAGAATCTTTCAGATATCCTGAACTTTATATCAGTAAGTTTATTGATACCAGCCATTACGAAGAGCTCCAAAGTATTTCATGATCCTTTGGAGGGTTTTGCATCAAAGAGACATTAATACGGTTTAAAGGTGTTATTTTTAGTAGCAGCCACTAAAACGTTAAAAAAAACTTTTTCCTGCGTTATAGTTCTCGATGAGGGTAGGTTTGGAGCTACGAATAGCGATGGGTTTCTTAACACGGAAATCCAGTTCGTGTTGGTCTGCAGCAAAAGTAAAGTTCTACAGATCGACTAGGCTAAAGCATTATTATTATTATTAAATTACTATATTTATCATTTTTCGAACTTATGTTTATTACTTTTCTCTGTCCTTTTAACTTCTAAAATCCAATTTCTATCACTTGTTCTCCATTTGTAAAATTGTTTATAGAACCGCTTCAACAATGTTCCTTATAACAATATTTTTCTTAACGTGCTACACGCCGTACGTACGTAATTTAGAATCTCTTTATATTCTAACCCTTCAACGATTATGTCTAAGCCTTTTTCTACGGTTTAAACTGCCTGACGAAGGGCTTTTGCCCGAAACGTTGCAAATAAATATAAAGTTTTTGTCATAAACAATTTTTAACACTTTTTTTTTCATTATTTTATTGTTTTTCCACGTCTTGCGGTATTTCCTACTGTGTGTTTTTTCTTAACACGAAGACTCATGGCCAAACTCAACAGGATAAATAGTACATCAACTGTCTTCCTGTGAAATCTCGACTAAGATTTAGCTGGAGGATCTGGCCTCCACGATAATTATAATAATGGGAATTGTTATGATATTTAGTCTTTTCCCCCATTTTTCTTTACTTACATGTTGATACAATTATCAACTTAACTTTCATTTAAATAAATTAAGAAAGAAAGATCTAATTATATTTTAAAACGCCTAACTGCATAGTAATGAAAACATACGACATAAGTATTTGCAAACAATAACCAAAAGCAAACTAATAGTTACAAGATATTAACGTTGTATTCAACTACAGCAGAGAAGTAGTTACAAGATATTAACGCTGTATTCAACTACAGCAGAGAAGTAGTTACAAGATATTAATGCTGTATTCAACTAATGCAGAAAAGTAGTTACAGAATATCAACGTTGTATTCAACTAATGCGCAAAAGTAGTTACAAGATATAAACGTTGTATTCAACTAGAGCACAAAAGTACTACAAGATATTAACACTGTATTCAACTACAGCACAGAAGTAGTTACAAGATATTAACGCTGTATTCAACTAATGCAGAAAAGTAGTTACAAGATATAAACGTTGTAGTCAACTACAGCACAGAAGTAGTTACAAGATATAAACACTGTATTTAACTACAGCACAGTAGTACGTTACAAGATATTAACGCTGTATTCAACTAATGCAGAAAAGTAGTTACAAGATACCAACGCTGTATTCAACTAATGCAGAAAAGTAGTTACAAGATATTAACGTTGTATACAACTAAAGCAGAGAAGTAGTTACAGGGCAAAAACGTCATATTCAACTAAAGCCACTCCTAACCAGAATTCGACTAAACAGACTTTCAAAACAAGAATATTTTCTAAAGAAATTAAAAGTATGAAAATAATAAAACACCAAGTGTAAACACGGCCTAAGTATCATTATAATTATCCTATAGAGTCAGTTATACAAATATTCTTACTGTCAGCACAATCATGGCCTATGTAACCTGGGAAACAGTGGCACTTTCCAAGTTGGCAGTTCCCGTTACGATTGCAATTGTTAGGGCACGTGGTCGGAACGTCATCTGTATAACAAACGATTAACATATTGTTTATACCATCCAATCAACGCTAAATATGGAATGTACAATGCTTAAAATGAAGCTTAATCTGATATTTGGATTACAATATTTTCAATACAACAATATCTGCGAGATATCAACCAACCGAGTTTAGAATTTGTAAGATATCAGCTGAACATATAACGAGATTAATATTTAATAGATATAAATTAAGCATGCAGAAATAGTGATGAAACTAGCATCTGAACAAATCAAATAGAATAAAGAGATCAAACTGTCAAAAAATATATTAAATCTGAGATGGGCATTATGAAATTGAAATTTATATTAATTATTCCTTCCTTTCGTTACTTATACTATTTATAATATGTATTTTAATAAGTAAAACATATGAAACATTGAATAACACCTTGATCAGAAACGCTTACCCTAAATCTGACATCTTAATTACATGGTGACAAAAAGGTCGATAGAGGGCATATTTTTTTATTATTATTGTATTCCAAAGATTAACATCTTTATCTGCTAATTGTTTACTGCATATTTTCGAGTTTGTTTGTTTTTTAGATGATTTACAATACGTTTATATAACGTATGTTTATATAATTAGTTTATTTTCGAAAAAAAAACATTTTTAGGGAATTTTATTAATGAAAAAAGGAATATTTAACTCTAAATCACTTACTTGCAACTGAAGGATGAAAGGCAACCGTAGTTGCTTCCTTCTGGTCATCATTGATGATAGAAATGTACCATGGGCCGGGTTCCAAATAATGAAGAAAATTCACTTCTTCCAGCTGCTTTAAAGAATAATTTTTTTTACCCATATATAAAACTAATCTTTGAACATTTTGAAATAATAGCAAAAGGTTTTATGAGCACATCTATTGATTTTACAACGGACGTAATATAGGTTAATAAAAATTATGTGCACATCTATTGATTTTACAACGGACGTAATATAGGTTAATAAAAATTCATACATTCTTTAAAGCATAATAACGACGGATGAAAGCTGAGCGTTACTTTTACCTTATCAAGGGTTAGACTTACTTGCCAGACAAATCAATCAAAATATTAGATACGACACGAGTGAAATGGTGAACTTAGCAAAACTTAGATTTGGAAAAAAGCCACGAATAAAGAGAAAGACACAAAACGGCAGCAGTCTACATTATGACTATCTGACGTTGGCTTTTTCGTTCGACATAAAAAGGTCAGATAAAAGACAAACGAGAATGACGACCAGCAGCCAAGGATACTTACTTAAGAAACGATAGATGAACTTTAGTGGTTATGGTTCCAACGAAAATAATCGCGCTCTAGTCAAACAAAACTCCTGTTTTTAGTCAAGAAAAACTGTCTTTCTGCACGTACGTCAAACCGTTTCTGTGTAGTTAAATACAACACCCCCCTCATGTAGCCGTCTAATACCGCTTGGAAATAAATACATGAAGTTATGATGAAAGTATATTTATTTTCTTTAGTTACATAAACCTTCGTTGTAACAGGCAAATATCACCGAATAGCTTTAATTTATTGAGAAAAAATTGGGTTTATATCTAAAAGAAACTTGCTGTTGACATTACCCTAAAAATGTTCAATATACCGCACAGAAAAGTTTTGGGAGAAATGAACGAAAACTGTGTTTAGACATAAAAGTCGTACTATCCAGCAATATTGCGTTGTAATATGGTTTATCCGTATAAAGACGCCTAAAAAATATATATCGTTTTTTTTTAAGTATCTTCTTTCAATTAGATTGTCAGCAGTGATTATATCAATATCAAAAGATTTGTTCCAAATCTAAGATAAAGACAATATTATTTTGTAAATGTAAAAAACAAATTTCACATTATTTCTGAGGTAAAATTCCAAATCAGTTTTTAGTCCTGCAATCTGTACATCTTACGTTTGTTTAACGTACACAGGATTTTTCGAAAGTCTGGAATTTTGATACAACGAATTGCGTAAACGTGAATTTTCATTTTTTCGCTCTGTTGTTTCGAGCAATTATTGTTCAAAAACGTTAAAGTAGATATAAAAACACCTTTTTTAGATGGAAGTGTACAGTAACAAACTGGAAATAAATGTGAGGCTTTCAAACTGATTTAAATATAGAATGAAATTAGCGGGTTCCAGAAAATTTATATCCAACTGCAAGAGATACTTCACGTTAATTTCATTTGATTAAGATAAATACTGGCTTTCAAATTTCAAAAAATTATATTGAAAAAAAGTATACGACACCAATAGTGGACACATTACAACTATAGGACCGTAAATGATGATTTGTTTATTTGAATTTCCCGCAAAGCTACACGAGGGCTATCTGCGCTAGCCGTCCCTAATTTAGCAGTGTAAGACTCTTTTACCAACGAATAGTGGGATTGTCCGTCACGTTATAATGCCCCCGCGGCTGAAAGGACGAGCATGTTTGGTGTGACGGGGATTCGAACCCGCGACCCTCAGATTACGAGTCGAGCGCCCTAACCACCTGGCCATGCCGGGAAGGTAAATGACGGAGGAATATTACAACAGAGTAAGGTTTTATGTTATGTGTTTTTAAGAGCAGTAAAACCGTAAAATTGTTTTAAAACTTCAAATGCGAATGTAAAAATATGAAAAATAATATACATATATAAACATAAAACGAAAGTAAAATCAATTAATGCTATAAAATACCAAATGTTAATTTTGAACTATTTTACCTCTTGTGAAAGAAATCATTGGATTGCTCCCGTTTTACTGAACAAATAACGAAACACCCAAATCGATTGTTTAAAACAGAGTTAACACTGATATTGTAAAGCTTCTCATATTAGTATTGCGCATAAAAGCTTAGGTAAACGAACCAAAAACACTAATAACAACACCACTCGTTAGTAGAGGAAACACACACATAAAAAAAAGACTTCGTTAAAAAGGTATTATAATGTAACTTGTAATGACTTTGCTACAGTTACTTGAATAATTCAATTTTCAATCAATCAGAACGGCAGATAGAGTGTTTTCCGAGTTCTGAAAGACATTTAAGACTAATTCTTCCGCTGCAATACGTTAACAAACAATATGATTAAAACAGGCATTTTGGATTAGCTTATGTTTAATACTGCAAAAAAATACACAACAAACAAACTTTTACGTTTTTACATTCTGAAGCATTCGTTAGCTTAATACCCTTTCTTGGTTGTTAAATGAAACTCGAGAAGCTCCGCGGGGATGGAAGGTTACACACATTTCTTAGAAGCACTTCCGATGGCTTGTTCAAAACAGATTTTAAAGCGTTTTATTATCTGTAATATCGAACGTCACTGATTAAGAGAATCGCTAGAACCTCATTTATCTTCACTCTCAGTATAGTTGTGTAAATTAAGATGTTAGAGACAGACGTGTTATCATTCACCAACCATATCTCATTACAAACTGTCACCACACTTAACAACTATCACGATAATGAGGCGAAATTAAAGCCCACATCAGAAACTCGTCTGATTGGAACCGAAACCGTGTCCAAAAATAATTGTATTCTCATTCTGAGAAACAGATACCAATCTAACCCGTGGTGATATCTTATAGAATGGGACCATCATCAAGTCACCAAATATTGTGCCCGTCAAGCCTGGTTATTTTTTTTTCGTTTGAAGTTAAGCTCAAAGCTACACAATGGGCTATCTGTGCTCTGCCCACCACGGGTATCGAAACCCGGTTTCTAGCGTTGTAAGTCCGCAGACATACCGCTGTGCCACTGGGGCCAAGCCTGGTGAAGCATTGACTCAATGTAAGGACAAGCAGCATTAGCAAATTTAAACCATTTGTACAAATTAGGTCACAAGAACGATTATATACACTGTTAACCCTAGTCATAATGTATAATAATTTTATGTTCCAATTATCCCCAAAACCTACTTTTACATTCGTTTTGGGTTGCACTTGTATTTAATTGTGAATCAGAATATTAATATCACAGAAAGTCGAGTCGAATAAATGGCTCTCCAAAAGATTCAAAAAGAGTCTACTTGCTACCTGTTGTCCCAGTATGCCACAGGAAATAGTGCGGAAAAGATAGCTTTGGAGAATACTAATTTCACCACATTTTCAATGTTTCACAAACAATTTATGTGGAATGAAATGTATACCACAGTAGAGAGCAAAGTATGTAAAAATAAAGAATAAGTCATTACTATACCACTGGGGCCAATAATTGACTTCCGTTTTCCAGTTAAAAAAAAATATTGTAGAGCGTCGTTTTCGGCACAGTATCTAAATATATACATACTTTTTTCGTTCATCAGCTGTAGCTTGTTTCTTGTGCAAGACGAAACAGGAAATTATTCATACAGAATAATAGCAGTATGGCAGAATCAAGTCGATATTATATAGAAGGAAGGTTGACGTGGGCGAAACTTTAATTTTATACGTATGAATTCTCTTTGTGTGGTTGAAAAATACAATGAAGAGTAGTTTCCTCTCAATTCTATTTTCCCATACTGGTCTTATTCAGTGTGAGATAGTTCCTGTTTTGTCCATTATATATACTCTATAAGCATCAAGTGTTTCGATTATAGCATTGATGAATAAAATTATAAGTAAAATTTTATGGTTTTATTCATTTTTCATATCTATAATCTATAGTCTTAAGATAACAGTGAGGTTGAAGAGTAAAAGAAGAAAAAAAAGTCTTACCACTGCAGCTCGTCTGTAAGAGCGAGTCTGTTCTGGGTTAATTATTTCAAATAAATCATACATTGTTAAAGACGGAGGAAAGTTTCTTCTTGCAAACAGAGCGAGCTTTGCGCTGCGTGGTGCAGTCAAGTTGAATCGAACCCATGCAGATTTTGTTTGGTTGAACCACACAGTCCAAGAATGACGAGAATCCAATCGTTTCGACAAGGATGAATCTAGACCAATCTGTGAATAGTAGGCTACATCGCTTGGTATGGAGAGGCATGGCGATGGGTAATAGCCAATATTTCCTGTTGTGATAGAATAATAAACCAAGAGGACATATGGTTGAGTAGTAACCTATATAATGGAAAACTATATTTCATTAACACGGATCGTATAAGATTGAACTTTATCACTAATAAGACACAGCAGGGAAATAAATCTGTTTCGAATGGTAAAATCAATTAACCTGGACAATGAGTGTGAGGACTCACTCCACAATGAGGATTGTCACATGTGTCTCTCTTGACACCCTTTTGTTAAATCCCAGATTAACCCTTATATTTACTGTCGTTGAAACCAGAGTTAAGAATTCAGTTGATTTGTCAAAGAATAATACAGTCTTGCCTAAAATGTTTGCATATTGTTCTATACTGATGTTATTGTCTGCATGCATGCATGGAGTAGTTATTGAGTAAATGCCCGAGTAGTAACAGAGAAGGTAGCGTATGATCAGACAAACATGTACGAGTTATTATTTTGGTCTGTAAAACTTGTTTTGAACACTTAGGGTGTGCTTTTGGTAAAATCTTTTTTCGAAACAGCTCAGGCGTCAAATATTTCGACTGTCGAGAAATAGTATTAAGTAAACAGACATTGCCACAACAGTAAGGTACCCCAATGTACTGTACCCAGAATCCTGAAACGTCATCGGACTAAAGGAAACACTGTTTCAGGAAAATCTACTGGCCGCGATGACCGTGTTTTGATCAGGTTAACACGTCAAGGTCGAAAGAAATCTTTCAACACCTTACGACAGGAATGGCGTGAGCACATTCATTCCAGAGTATCTAGAAGAACAGTGAATAGGAGATTGATCGAACAAGATTATTTTGCAAGAAGGGCTATCTACAAATCTATATCAACCAGAATTCACCGCTGTTATCGTGTTACTTGGGCAAGACAGTATGCCAACTTACAGTTAAGACAATGGCGAAATTTCATCTTTTCAGATGAGTCCTGTTTCCTGTTTGTTAAAGTTAATGATAGGATTCGTGTTCGTCGTTTGCCTGGATAACATATGAGGGAAGATTATTTTTCTACAGAGAACACACTAGAGGTGGTGCAGTACATGTTTGGGCAGCTATTCATTATGGTGGAAAAACTGCTCTTCATACCCTCCAGGGTAACGTCAACGGCGCCTCCTACAGACATCACATGGATACGAAATTACTTCCATATGCAAAGTCAAGGTTTGGCAATAACTTTGTGTTTCTTAAGGACAATGCCACTGCCCACAGTGCACGTATTGTACAGAATTATCTCAACTAGGAGAACTTTATAAGATTGCCATGGCCAGCAATATCCCACAATTGTAATCCCATTGAGAATTGCTGTTTAGAACTTAGCTGGAAAATTGTTATCCACGACCCTAAAACAGCTACTGTGGCTGAGATGCAACGCCTTCTAGTGAATTACATCAATAACCTCATCTACAGTATGCCACGTATCTTGCGGGGGATATTAGAGTACGAGGAGGACCAACCAAGTACTTAATGTTTAATATGAACTGATATAAGGTTACAGACGCTACTTATAATAATTTGATGTTATATTTTGTCGATATATATGTTTTGGTAAAGTTTTATTGTAATAGATGAAATGATGAATCACACATCTCTCTACAGGTGCCTGGTATATTGTTTGATGTTCTAATAAATCGCTCGTGGTGTCCATAGAACCTGTCTCATTAAACAAATTACATATGTAGATGTTAAATATAATATGCATTTCTCAGTTTGACAGCACTATGTGTATTTGTATGCCATCTTATTAATAACGATTTTATTTGTTTCAAAATATGCAAACATTCTGGTCAAGACTGTGGATTTACATCTCCTTTTAACGAACCAGAATTATTAATTAAAATAGGTCAAGCCTCAGGTAAAGAACATACATTCAAAATTTTAATCAGAAGTTCAATGTATACAGTCTAAGCAGATAAGTATCTTAGAATTTAAAGAAGCCATGCAAACAGACAAAGGCTTAACAAATGTAATGGAAAAGAAAAATTTAATGTAATGAAATGAAATGTGGCATGAAAGTATTTTCTCCTTCAAGAACTTATCCGGAACTTGATTTGGAATCGACAACACATTTCTTTTTCTTAACATAAGCCAAAATTTACAGACCATCTACTTTCTTTAAGGTAAAGTACTGCACGAAAGTTATCAAAATAATTTACTTTTGATAGGTCGAAGGAGAAATTATACACACACGAAAACACACATTTAATTTACACGTATCTTGTGATACGTAGTGAGAAAAACACAAGCAAACAATTTGAAAATACTTCGTTATATAAAAATATCCACTGATAAAGTCTTGAATGTAGGCGTGTTAGTTAATATCACTGGATTTTTAAAAATTCTTTTTCAATATATATATACACCAAAAGTCAACTCCAGAACTGAATTGTTTCAATTAATGAGCGCTAGAATTCGGGGTTTGATCACTGTGGTGGAAACGGCCTATATATCCTAAGTGCAACTTTGATTAAAACACAAAGGAAAGCTTCTAGGAATAGTAGTTTTTGGGTTTTTTAAGGAAATAGCCCTAAGTTTTGTTTGTCTGTTTTGTATATAAGCATAAGCTACAAAAAGGGCTATCTGAACACTGCCCACCATGGATATCTAAACCCGGTTTCTAGCGGTATAAGTCCGCAGACATGTCACTGTGAGGTACCCTAAGTTTTACTCATAATTTATAATAGTTTACAATTACAATAAACATATATTGTAAATGGTACGGGTAGCCAAGAAGGTTTTAATTTTGTTGTGTTTTTTGTTTTTGTAATCACTGCATTAAGCTTAGTCTCAGCAGAAGGTGTGTTTTTGTTTTCGTTATTAACATTAATTAATAAACTGTATTTTTGTCTGTTTTTAAATATGCTAAAATAAGTTAAACTTTAATAAAATAGTGTAACACTTTTTCTTTCATGAGATGAGAATTAAAGCCTTTGTTGAACTTTTCAAGAAAATCCATACAAATCTATCGATAACGGTGATTAAATGTATATTAATTATCTTAGATGGCAAATTTATTTTATTAATTTACTAAATTTAATAACAGTTTATAATATACAATCAAGCATAACAAAAAGAATGATAATCTTAAAGCTCTCTTATTTTAAAATGGTGAAGTTTCGAATATATTAAATAATGTCTTTTTCCTCAACAATATAGTTTTAGAACAATAAACTAAAAGTTTTACATTCACCATAGTTACATATAAGTCACTGATGTACCTACATTTGTTTACAGCAACAATAACAAAAACATAATTTACCAGACAGCTTTATCTGGCAAATGGTATACAAAATCTAGAAACTTCGGAGAAAAATAATTACACTTCGTTATTTTCTCGCTTGAAATTTTCTAATGTTGTTAAATTAACTCTTTCAAAGGGTATTTTAATAATATTTTTCGTAAAATTTGTAATACTAAATATTATTTATAGCTGTTGCTAGCAATGAGACAAGTAATTTGAAAATCCCGGAAATAGAAGAATTTAAATCTTGTCCGGCTTTAAACAATAATGATTTGTTTTTTGCTAAGCATAAAGCTACGCAATAGGCTTTCGGTGTTGTGTTTGCCACGGGTATCGAAACCCGAATCCTAGCGTTGTGAGCCGTCAGACTTACCACTGAGGGGGAACAGTAATTACACAGATTTTCTAACAATAAAAGACAATAATAAATATTATATTGATATCCTAAACCTAGTTTAATCCTCAGTTAAAACAATGTGTTTTGATAATCCAATAAATGTTTATTTCATTTTGGCTGTTGTTGCTGTTTTATTAGCAATGGGCTACCTGCGCTCTGTCCATCACAGCGAATCGAACCTCGGAATTTAGCATTGTATGTCTGGAAACGTAATGCTGAGCCACTAGGTGGTAACAATGAAAGACAAAACTAAATTAATGGATTATGTTGATATCTTAAAACAAACTTAAATCACGTAAGGTAAACTATATTAATAACCCAAATAAATGTTATTATAATTATATTTTAGCTGTTTTATTAGCAGAGAATCGAACCTCGGATGTTAGCATTGTAAGTCGAGAAATTTACCTCTGACCCATCGGGGGACATTTTCATTTCAAAATAGAAACATTCGTAAAAAAAGTAAAAGACCTTCCTAACAAAAACTACAATGTGTATTGTAGTGAAAACAAATGTAATGATAAGTTTAGGGCCTTACCTTTTGAAGCTGGAGTTATAAAGTTCACCATACTTTGAGATCTCTCCCCGTCATCTACCACAATGCAAGGCTTATTGCTCTCTGGACTTACCATCAAAATGCTCGTGGCTGACAAATACAAAACAAATCCCTTATTTCCTGAACGTTACGAAACAGATAATGTACATTTTAGCACGTGAAACTGACGAACTACTATAATTAATAAAATTATCCAGTTACTAGACGACTCTGTTAACAAGAAAGTACAGAAATTATAATATATCCTACCAGCTTCCGTTTTTAAAAGGGAAGATTGGTTTTAAACATTGGAGGAATAATTTTAAAATTCATAATTCAATCTAGTTGTCCTTGTTCTAATCGAGATATCACATATTGTTCTAGCATTTTTATTGAAGCTTGTGAAACATGCCGGAATTACGTTTATGTTAGAACCACCATTCGCTTCCGTTAAACACATTTTTTTTCTTTTCTTTATTAAAACCACAACGTGAATATTGGTAAAATTAGGTTAAAAGTAAACATTTTTATTCTAATTCACAATTTCAAGAAACATGGTTAAAGAACAAAACAAACGTTGGACTGAAGAGGTCATGTGAAATGTTGAAATTAGTATCCAAATAAATTTAGTATTGTTCCGTTAATGCGGATTTAGATTTTATTGTAAATTACTTTACACGGTATTGTTTATTCATCAATTATTATAATGGTTAAAGTTTGTTTGTTTTAAATTTCGCGCAAAGCTACACGAGGGCTATCTGCGCTAGCCGTCCCTAATTTAGCAGTGTAAGACTAGAGGGAAGGCAGACAGTCATCACTACCCACCGACAACTCTTGGGCTACTCTTTTACCAACGAATAGTGGGATTGGCCGTCACAATATAACGTTCCCACGGCTGAAAGGGCGAACATATTAGATGCGACGGGGATTCGAATTCGCAGATTGCGAGTCGAGCGCCCTAACCTCCTGGTCATGCCGAGCCTAATGGTTAAAGAAATTTGTTTTGAAAAGCAGTTCTAGAATATTCTTCAGTAACGATTCAAATTTTTGTATGCTTTGTAGGCTGCCCCCTAGTGATATACACAATATTTTTTGTTTTGTAAGCTTAGTGCTACACACAATAAAATGAACCGTGATTTGCTTCTCTGTTAAAGGACATTTTAAGATAAAAATACTAGTTTAAACAAATTTCATACCAGCAAAATATGCCATTGTGGCGGTGAGAACAATAGTAACCAGAATCAAGACAATTGTTGCCATTTTCCATGAGCACCGATGACTGCATGATTTCCGGAAATGAAAACGGGAAGAGGAAATGGTAGCGGAAGTGAAAGCGGAAGTAGCAGAGAATGGAGGCCTTTTAGCGTTGTGGGACGTAGAGGCCTGAATTAACTGAGGGTTGACGCAATTGGTAACAGGAACCATAGGACCAGTGGTGGAATTGGGAGTACCGCAGAACACTGGAAGCGGGTTGCTATAGGTTGGGCCTGAAGAAGTAGTTGGCACATTGTTCGTTCCCCCAGATGGTACTGCTGTCACAGGAACGTTGTTGCAGAGCAAATCTGTTCTCAGTGGGTTTTGTGGTTGAGTGTAAATTCTAGATAAAATACCATTAACAATCACTGACCGAATACTCTGTTAGTGATTTAATATAGCAAAATATATATATAATATTTCACCATGATCAATACAATTAGTTAAATTTAACGAACTCTGTTAAAGGTTTGATTAAACAAAAACGAAAACGATGGCCATACCATGATTCTGGTAATTAAAACACACACGAATTTGTAAAGAACGTAAAAGTTTTTTGTTTTTTTTAATTTCCAAATGTTTCCAGGCTTCACTTCAATCACTTGTGAGCATATGGCTTCAGTCGTAACAAGTAAGATGAAATATGATTAACTGGCTTTAAATAAAGCACGAACACTGTACTTGTCAGGACATTGTAGCATCAGAATTTTCTATCTTAATAATACAGATATTTGTAACACTGAATTAGTGTAGAAATATATTTCTATGAACTCCAAAGGGTTTTTTTTTACTCAGTTCTTACAAAAACATCTCCATTTTTTTGTAATTCATTTATTGACTTAATCTTTCATTACGTTAGTCGTAACTAATAAATATAATATATTATGTTTTGAGTTTTTGAGCCTAAAGCAATTTGCGTAAACCTTGCGACAGGAATATATTTTGCCATTTCCACATTTTGTTTCTGGTGTACATAACATTGATAATTCAAGCATGTAGTGCGATTAGAATGAAGTTGTCAGTAATGGATCAAAAATAACGTAAGCATCTCTACTTTTATAGTCTGATGTTTTCGCGAATAAAGGGGGAAGCTTTTGCAATCATTGTTCGATCAGGAAGAAAAAACAAAATAGTATCATCAGTCGAAATAACTCGTTTACACAGTAACTCATGGTCCGTGAAACTGCATCACAGATTTTAACAATTTCACGGACAGACGCTTTAGCATAGAATTTCACGTGCGATAGTGATAAAGGAATTATTTTTATCCTTAATACGACCAGTATTACACAGTTTTACTTAAAACATCTGAATGTTTCGCCCATTCACATCGCATCACTTCAATCGGTAATTTTCCAAACTTTCATTTTCAAATTCTTAAAATCTATCACGAGTAAACATTTCACAGAATGAAACGCTGATTGGAATGAACGAATTTTTGTTTAAAATCCTTCGCTAAAATGAAATATTTGTAGTTATTATATATATATATATATTGTTGTTTTTTTTTCACAAAAGCGCATTCTCCAAGAAAATCACATCCCATGCAAATTACATTTCTAGCAAAATACATTTTATTTAACAATCAGTAGTTTCATACTTCTCCACCTAATCTTCTAAGCCCTCAGTAGGCCTAAGCCTCTCTCTCTCTCTGTGTGTGTATACTGACTAGTTCTAGTTAAAGATAATCGATCCTTGTCCAGCTGCAGCAGCTACATGCGTGTTATTCTTATCTTTAGTCCCCGGGAGTACACATGAGATTTCAATACCCAGCAATGAATTACTATCTACACTCGCTAAGAAATTCGTCTTTCAGGCCCGTTGCCTACGACATGGCTAAGCTTCCTATGCATAATAAAATTTGTGATTTGAGAAGGCCTGATGCGTAGAAGAGAGAGAGAGACTCTCAAGACAAGAGATTTTCTTCCACGTCTTAAACACAATGAATAGTGGCAGGATTTACCCAAGTAAAGCTTCTGAATCACAACCAGCTACGTTGATTTGTCTCTGCCATCAAACTACACATTTATTAGCGTTTCTATTAAATGTAATTGGTGTATCTTAAGAGGTGATATTTTATAACATTTAGATTCAAAGGTGATTATTTCCATGTACCACGAAACCATTGCACTAAATCATAAACGTTTATTACACTATCAAAATGAACAAAATTGATAAGTTGATAAATATAGAGTTTGTTTTGGACAAGTAAGAAATATATATATAGTTATTTTTTCCTCTACACTTTGAATAACGAAAAATGCGTGTTTTCACTTAATATTCAATGGTCAACTGTTCTAGACAGGTAAATAAATCTTTTCTGATTAATTTCCTAAGTAATTTCGAACATTATGAGGATAATAGTCTTGGATACTTTTTATATAATAACTTAAACGAGAAGCGTTATGTTGACATCTGACATGCCTTCAGGATAAAAACACAACAACAACAACAAAAAAACACCTTACGCCAACATTTTCACTACTTCTCTTCACTCTTTTCAATAAGAAAAAAACCCCTTATCTTTCTAATTCCTGAACATTAATGACCATATGTGGGTCTTAAATTAAAGCTTTTTGGTTTATTTTGAAATGCATAAAACTGTTCGTAACGATTATATAGTTTTTGTAGTTTATAGGCACAGCGATACTGGCTCTTCTCGACAAATTCATTTGGTCAAACACGTTTATTCTCGGCGGCAGGTAAGTGATTGCCTAATCCTTTAAACGCTTAAAATATTAAGCAGATGGAGTTGGAAGGTATACTGAAGGTACAGATTTTAAAATAGACAGAAAGTTAAGACAATTTTTACAGGGTTCTTGAAATCCACGCTTAAATTATGCTATTCAATATTGTGTATGCCAAGGTTTAGATTGTCCGTTTCTATTATTTCTCCGAAAGGGGGGGGGCAAAGGCTGCCTGGATGGGTTACCTGTTTTAATCACTCGCAGTACTATACAGTAGTGTGTCGTCAGTCAGTCAGTAGACACTAAAATTACGCCGCATAAGTGGTGCTTAACGTTGAAATTTGTACTGTCGTGAAGTCAGTAAAGCGTGCGCATGCCATGAATCACGAGAAGAATTATTGTCTCTGTAGGCTATAACACAGCATGACATATGAACTTCAAAAGCAAGAAATAAAAATATTTGTTACTCTTAAATTTGACTTTATTTATTCTTGAAACAGAACACTTTCGGGAACCCGAGGAAGTAAGTATATTCCATATTGTATCTATATCTATATAAAT